GGCTGACCTGCTCTGCCACCTGAGCTACAGGTTTTCTAGGTTTTCTAGTCTTTAAAGACTTTTGTGCACTGTAAACTACCACGAACAGCAAAATGAACTGTGCGAGAATCTGCGATGGAGCTGAACTCTCAGTGAACTGAAAGAGTTTTGGTAAACTTTGGCTGGAACCTGCACGGCTCTGAGGTCTGTATCTGCTGAACCAAATGTACATTCATTTTCTCTCTTTCTCCTTCTTCAGCTTCTGTGCCGCTCTGTAACTCTGTGTGTTCTCCCATATTCCTGTGGAGTCTTATCACCATGGCGATGACACAGCTGAGGCTCATCTTCTTCATGGGCGCTATGAATAAGATGATAGAGTTCCTAGTCACCCACGGCGACCCCAACCGTAAGAATAATGGTCCATTTTCTATTGTTTAAATCTAAATGCTCCATGGTTTATTTCATTAGCCCTGTGACAGACTGGCGACCTGTCCAGGGTAAACCCCGCCTCTCGCCCCATGACAGCTGGGATAGGCTCCAGCGCCCCCCGCCACCCGCGGAAGCGAATGGATGTTTCTAAACACAAGTAGCCAGAACAGTTTTGGTATTCCTCATGTGGTTTTAAAAAAAACTTCTGCTGGGTGAAAGTTAAGGTTATGGTACAGAATTCACATCATTTTTATTCTCATCAAACCATTTAGTAAACCTCTCACCACATGAATGCAGACTACTTTACCATAGTTTCACCGTAGGATAAAGGCAATCACTCAGATCTGCAATGAGCTTCCTTGTAAGGTGCACATTGGAGCCAAATCATCAAATCAAAGGGAACATGGTTTCAGCGTTTTTTCTTTTATTTGTCACTTGTTTATAGGGCCAAAGTGAGTGTGCTGCTAATGAGAATAATTATTGTTAACCCATCTCTGGTAATCCCTGACCTGCTGCTGTCTCTTTCAGCCTCTGAGGAGCTACAGAAGGAGGTGGAACAACAAGGTATAAACCAAGACACTCAGTCCTAATGGTGCACACACACGACTGCTGTCCACTGAGACTCGACCCAGGACCAAGACCTGTTTGGGTCCTGACTTAAGATTCAGATTGTTTTTGCTCTGTGGAAGGAACACGTTAGACTTACAATTTCAAACGACTTCAAGAAAGCACCTTGAACAGTGAGTTACTCAGATTTCATGGGAACTTCGTGATTCATTTTCTAGAGATCAACCAAATGCAATTTTCTTGGCCAATTCAAAATTGCAACTGTTTTGTAAAAGGCCAATACCTGCTTTGATGGGCTCTGAGCTCTTGTTCTTGTGCTATGACTAGATGCAAGAGTTTAAGTACGGATCCTGGGGAGGGAAAAGGGACAGCGGCCTGGGTGGAGGTACACTGAGATAATGAGAAGAGACAGGCAGTCAGTGGCAGTCTAGTGAATCACAGCCGGTGATTAAACTATGATGGTTATGGTTTACGTGTTGCAGGGGCAGGCGTCAGGCAAGGAGGGTGTCTAGGGGGTCTGGGTGAGGAGTGGTCAAGAGAGAGTCCAGAATATACTTGGAGCAACGGCCCTGGCAGGGGGGCAGGTAGGTGAAAGGCCACGATGAAGGGAGTGCAACCTGATAGCAGAAAACCAGCGTCCAGACAGAGATGCGTATTTTTCCTGCTTGTGTGACGGCCCGGCGGGTACTACGACAGAGAGAAAACACTGTGAGTAGAAATGCAAAAGATAAGGAATCTCACACGAGCTTGGCGGCCACGACTAACGCGACTTAGCTGAAGATCTGGCAAAGATCTGTTGTGAGTGCTGGTCTTAAATGCTGGTGACTTGATTGCATTGAGCTGTGAAGGCTGATTGGAGTCTCCGCCTGAAGGTGGAGCCCAGCAGAAAAACCCCGCACTCACCTGGACCATGTCTTTCTTAGCTTCTTTAAAATGGCCATGTTGAAACTTTTTGTGGTCGTCCACCTGCAGTTTACTTTGGTGAGCTGTGTCTTCCCTCCCAGTGTTAGCATGTGGCATTATTGCATGTCCACGTTGTAACTACGTCTGATGTTTCCTCTACATTTCACCTTCACTAGTTACTTTGCCTTGTTTGGTGTCATTTACAGTTATGTTTTCATTTTGACAAACTGTATTAACACAATTGATCTAAAATCAGACAAAAAACATAAAATCTGAGTAGAAAAAGTTATATTTTTACTGTAACAGCCACAAACATGTTTATTGAATCATATTTCATAACTTTTAAAATCATGTGCACAAGTTTTGCAAACAACAAAGTTATTTGCAGCCATTTAACTTTTACCGTTTTTAATAACCATGTCAAACTATTTACAGAACAATCAGCTGTTCTTCAATAAGACGCCACAAATTATTTGTGCCACTCCAAATATTTCTGTCCACTATAAAGGAAACATCACAGCTGATACCTGCAGGTCTGACAGCAGCAGGTGGGCAACGCCGGTTCTACCTGGAGACAGCAGTCGCCTCATTGTTCTGACACACAACACAACACTACACACTAACTATACAAGACAACACATTAACTACACACTCCAAACACGCTAAACGCCACAAATCTCTCACATCTCAAAACTCTCTCTCTCTCTCCCCCTCTCTCTCTCTCTCTCTCTTCCTAAGCAACCAGATGTCATGTTGCCATATCATGTTTTGATTGGTGGACATGGTGCATTTTTCCACCAACATGAACGGGCTGATTTTGGTTTGATTTTTGCTCATAAGCAGAGAGGTCTCGCTGCGCTGTCCTCACAGTAAACATGAAACTATTGAGGAACAAACACACGTATATTTTGTTTATCATGACTCTGGTTTTACTGGCCTATCAGCACAATTTAAAAACTGGCACCTTGTTGCTTTGTCATCTTGAAGTGGTCATGTGATTGGCTTACCACGACTACTTTATTCTTCCTCAGTCAAACAGCAGCACTCATGCCATTGTTTTGTCCCCTGAGCTCCAGGTGTTGTGCCAAAAAGTGATCGTCAGGCAGAAAGTGATCGTCAGGCAGAAAGTGATCGTCAGGCAGAAAGTGATCGTCAGGCAGAAAGTGATTACTGTCAGCGAGAGCGCGCAGCTGCTTAAAGCTGCAGCGCCCAGATTACTTACAGCTACTTCTGTGCAGCTGATATAAGATGCTGTAAACTACAGACAGCTTCAACCGTCTGTTTGCTGAAAATAGTAACGCGACCGCAGTTTCTTGTTAGTAACGGTAACAGCGTTGTAACGATAGGAATAGTAATTAGATTACTCGTTACTGAAAAAAGTAACGCCGTTATTCCCATCACTGGTAATCGGACATGTGGGAAGCTGACATGCCGGTTACCTGTCTATGTCGAGAGCACCTGTCCAGCCAATGAAAGAGTCTGCAACATTTAAAGATATTACAGGATGACTTCCTATTGGCCCACAACGTTTGTTAGACTGCAATAAAAGCTGTAGTACTAGTGGTGAAGAAAAGTAACACAGCTCAGAGATATGGCTTGTGCCAAAGATTTAATGTTAACGTATTGTTGATAAGTTGTGTCTAGCCATGGGGCAAATGATATTACCCATGTAAATCACTTTTTATTGACTCTCCCTCTCTATAAATGTCCTCTCCAGTTGGATTCTACTCATCGATCTTCGGTACGATGCAGCTGCTGTGTCTGCTGACCTGTCCGTTGATTGGCTACATCATGGACTGGAGGATGAAGGACTGTGAAGAGGAAAGTCCAAACACACAAACAGACAATTGGTATGAAAAGTGTTCAGGATAAGATACTACAGACAGACCCAAAGGCTGGTGTTTAGTACATAGGATGGTTAACTCTAATTTGAACTTGGATTGCGATATAAAAGAGGAGGAGCCTGGTGGTGTCACTAACATCACAGTGCACCTCTGCATCTTGATTTCACCACATTCGACTTTTTGTGTAGCCATAAGCCTCTTTTGACACTTGAACTTTGTCCTACTCAGCCAACTGAATGCCCCAAAGAGAAACAGGAAGATCCAGAAAATCACTAATGCCTTGAGAGCTTACATCTTCACCAACCTCCTGTTGGTCACCTTTGGCATCACATCCCTGATAGACAACTTGCCCTTACAGGTTAGCAAAATGCTGAGCGTCAGAAGTCCTCACTGACACATCCGAGCATCACTTTTAACATCTGACTTTGCTTCTCTGATAGATGGTGTCGTTCATTCTGCATACCGTAGTGAGAGGATTTGTTCACTCCTGCTGTGGAGGTCTCTATGCTGCTGTGTGGGTAACAACGGGGCTTTTACAAAGCTACAGTGTTTATATATTAACATATGTAATGTGACAGATTTTGCTTACAGTTAGAAACCCTGTGAGGAAGGCATGGGCAAGGAAATCAGAGTTTTCGATTTGAAATATAAAAATATTGATTTTCAGCCCTGACATGGGACCCTGTGCCCTCGTATAGACGGTACAACTGTACGTGGAAAATGACCACACAGGCAGCTGAACTTTGTTTTATATTGTTAAACTGCATCGCCGAGTGCTGTGACAAGTATTTGGATTCTTTACTTAAGTAAAAGACAAAAGTTTTTCCATCAAAAAATACTTAAAATGCCAAAACCTTCCAGGGTTTATGGCTGAGACAGGCTGTAGCCATCCCCCAACCCTGAAACTCAAAAGCAGTTTTTTCAACAGAACTTCTCATGTTGGAAAATTGTTTTCCTCTCTTATTATTAACCAAACAAGAGAGAAAAAAAACAAAATAACAAAAGCCACAACCCGGGAGGATTGTGATATTAACTAACCCTTTCCATAAGAAGCACACAGAAGTTAGCTACAACATCACTGAGCTTCACGTTCCCGTTAACACAGACAGACATCAGACCACTATGGAGTCAGCTGGAACATCCTTACGTTCAAGTTTAGAGAAGAAAGAGACCCCAAATTTTGAAAGCAGTTTAAAAAATGGATAAATACATGACTGTATGATTGTGAAAAGGGCCAGAGTCAGCCAGAGTTCACAAGCTCTGAGCTCTGTCTGTAATACATTAACCCTTTAAGTCCTACCATAGAACCAAGTCCGCCAGAGCTTATATTATATGTTTACATGCTGTGGAGCCATTTTTGGGAGCATTTCAAGTTGATATACATCAATGCAACCATTATAGCCCAAATTTTAATAATATGTCTGCATTAAGTGCACAGTAATTACATAAATTGCAAAAAAGTGCAATAAACTACAAAAAAATTGAAAATCATTTTTGTTTTTTAAAATATATTTCTAGTTAGAGAAATTTAAAGTACAGCGAACCCAACCCAAGGGACTCTCATGTATTAACAGTAATTTAAGAATGAATGAATACAAATGAATGAGAAAAAAAAGCTCGTCTACCTCTCTTTCCAGATATCCAGCCAACCACTTCGGGACACTGACAGGCATGCAGTCAATGATCAGTGCTGCGTTTGCCCTGCTTCAGCAACCACTGTTCATATTGATGGTGGGACCCCTCAGTGGAGATCCTTACTGGGTAGGACACGTGCACACCAACAACAGGTTTTAGAAGAGCTTTGGTTTGACACATGTACCGACACTGTCTCCTTACCACAGATCAATCTGGGCCTTCTCATCTTCTCCCTTGCTGGCTTCCTGTTGCCAGGCTACCTGTTCTATCACCGGAGAAACCTGATCAGGGCAACGGCAGAACACGATAGGACAGCTGCCGGCCAATCGAGGACTGAAAATGTTGCTCTAACCCAGTCATCCGGTGGAACTGCTAAGACCCTAGCCAATGGGGACGCAGCTGATGAACTCATGCCGAATGGTGTTTAAGATGAAATGAATAACTTAGTAAATAGTTTGCTCATTTTTGAGGATATAAATCAAACTTGATTATGAAAAGGACAACACACACAAACCAAAGAAAACATATATTTTAAAAAATAACATCCTGCATTGCTCCGTGAGTGAGAATAAGAGTCGGCTGTGACGAACGGCTTGTTCAGAAGAGCTTCAATCCCCATATGACCCTGGAAAGATGTGGGAAACATCCTGTATCCTCTCATCCTGTTCACCACATGCAGCAGTTTTCCAACTGTATTCCAACTCAATTTCCAGCTGTAGTTCAAACCGTGACAGTGGTCTGTGGGCTCGTGCTTACAAAGCAATGCAAGTGTAGAAATTCAAGCAAGCGTGCAGATATGATATGCTTATTACACGCTTATTACATGCTTATTACACAAGTTATGAGCTTGTTTGGTTTGTTTAAATATTCTAGTTATTTAAAGTGGGTTTAAAGTCACTTGTTTCCTGGTAACTGAGGACAATTTTGGACAATATTGTTACGATCTTGAGAAAATAATTTATGTTAATGGTAATATGGAAAAAGAACTGTTGATAGTTCACAAACGTTATTTTCAGAATTATAAACTTCTGCTCCTGCCACTGTGTAACGTGGTTTGACACAGTAAACTGTTACAGAGCTCTTGACCAATCACATTAGGGCGCCTGTTCCTCTGAGGTCCCGCCCTCCAAACTTTTAGTCGGGTTGATTTGAGTGAGCAGAGTTTAGTTTCAACAACGGTTCCTTGCGTGAGCTTGAATCCACTGCAGCACTCGCGTGCATGATGGCGTCTTTGTGTGTGTGGCTGCTGACTCTCTACACACACACTGCTGAACTTACGCACAAGAAATGTCATTGCATCATTGCAGTGAGTACCTGTGCCCATGAAAGATAACCTTGTAAACACAGGTGGGTGGAGCTTTCATGCTCACAGCCAAACGTGTGTGCTTGTGATGACCATATTAGGGACCTGCCCTCTCTGTGACATCATACAGGTTTGAGAGTAGAAAAAACTGTAGAAGAAAAGTGTGTCGAAGCTTTTGGCTTACAGAGATTACTTGTGCATTTGCTGAGCTCATTATTTGAAACATTAGCCAGGTTTAGCATGAGCATGCACATTTCGAGCCCGTTCTCACTCCCGAGGCGTAACATGCCGACGTTTTGTCACGTCCCGCGGCGTTCCTGAGGAACGCAAAAGGAGACCTTCGGCGTTCTTATGGTACGCAGCGGGTTATGGCTGAAATCCAGTGCAATAGACATTCCAGCCCTGTATTCCAGCCCTAAACCTAACCTTATCCCTAGCCCTAACCATAACCTTTTTCCTGACCTTAACCAAGACTTTAATTATGTTAAATAGCGTGTTTCTAAGCAATTTGAAGAAAAAGAGTGAACATGTGTAGATTGAGTCCATACGGTTCTCATATTTCCTCATTTTTCCGAGGTCGTCATTCAGGAACGTGGTGGGTAGCCGAAAACGTAATATGTTGACGATTTGTCACCTAGCGTAAAATGTTACGGTTTGGGAGTGAGAACGTGTTGCACATTTCATTGTCCCCTAAGGCTCGGAGGTTTGGAGGAAGTCAGTACCACTGCAAAGAACAGGGTCTAATTAATTTTGAAGACATAAATGTCTGCGCTCTGGGCTTTAGTTATATTTAAAATACAAACATTTGAGGTTATGGCTTGAAGCACTGAAGGTTAGTCATGGCCGAAGTACTTCTGTGCTAACATTACATGCTGGAAACAATTATGACATTTTGATGACTAATCTGTTGAATCTTTGCGATTGTTTGACTCTAACATCTGAGTGGAAACGCTCTTCACACAAAGCCAACCTTAGGGACTCTGCAGTTCCTTTGTTCCATCAGCTTGGAGGACTTCCTTCAGTTCTTCTGTGGATTTGTTAGAGTCTTATTTTTATGAAGAGAGAGATTAACAGCATTCATGAAAATAACTTTCACGCTGTTAGAAGATCATCTTCAGTATAATTAAGTCATTTTTTTATAGACAAGTTTTTGCTTGAAGTGGAGAAATAGTTCTCTTAGCTGATGTTTCCTAAATGAATCGAGGATTGACCAGTCGGCACTTCCTTATGTTGAAGTAGCTACTGCTGGCTCTAACATGAAAGCAGCAGGATTAAATAATGTGTATGAATCACTGACAATCATCCCACACTGGGTATAAAAGCAATAGCTTGTCACTGACTGCCAGATGGCAGCTTGTAACTAGGATGGCTTCCTCTTACCTTTTAAACGTGAGTGAAGTTTATGTTCTTTACTTTGAGCACACACAGGTTTGGAAACATGTGAAACATGAACATTTTGTTTCAGTATGGTCACTTCATCAAATCCTAGGACCAAGGACCAAGTGTAACTGTAGTGTCAGTTTGGTTAGCTGATGCAGGTACGGGGATTTGCTTTCCCCTTGTTTCTTCATCGTTATTCATATTTCCTAACCCTTAAATGCGGACAGGTTGCGAACACGTTGCCATTAGTGAATGAGTCTTTGTCAATGAGCACAACTCAAAGCACGCGACTGGCTGCCAGTTAGTTGTGTATTTCTGTAGAACATGAAGGCTGTTGAGTGCAAATGTAACAACTGAATGTGAACTTCTATCCATGTAAACAGCTGCAGATGTGTGATCTTCAACTATTTACCACAGTTAACTCTTCTATTATCAGAAACTGTTGTTGTAATACTCAGCATGTCACAAAAACGTATCCTAATTATATCCTGAGAATAATCTTCAACCCAGTTGGTGTTATGATTTCCTGCTGCAAAGACAAAGGTTGTGGGGAGAAATAAACTGTTAACTGTTGTACCTTGTTACATTGTATACATGTGATTTATTGCTGACATTTTAAAACACACTAGTATTTAAAACCTTGGGAATTAGGACTGTACTGTGCTTTTCCGGTCAGACTGGCTTTCCATTGGTGGTGGTTTGTTTTTGCTGTACTTTATCCCAGTTTGAGGATATTTATAACAGATTACTCTGTTCAGGCCAGTGTTTCTTAGGAGAAAAATCCCCACTACCAGCAGAACACCCAGCCAGTTGTAGAGCAGGTTCGATCCTTGGCTTCCCCAGTCTGCATGCCCAAGTATTCTTGGGCAAGATACTAACCCCAAGATGCTCTCCGATGCATCCATCGCAGTGTGTGTGAATGTTGGTTAGATTGCACTTATGTATAGAAGGAAGTGCTTGTATGAGTGGGTGTGATTGGGTGAATGAGGCATGTTGTATAGAGTGCTTTGAGTACTCCGGGAGAGTAGAAAAGCGCTATATAATCATCAGTCCATTTACCATTACCAAATAAACAGGAAGCAAAAGAAACAATACTCAACATGTGCATCTGTCATAACTGAGGAGATGTGCAGGACTAAAGATGTGGACTCGGGAGGTTAAGTTCAGTGCATTTATTTACAGTGAATGTTAAAAATGTTAATAAATGCCGTAATGCAAAGTGAATGGGCAGTAGTCAGAGGATTCCTCGGCACCAGCTCAGGAAAAGAGTCTCTTCCCACAGGAGAATCTTTTCTCTCTCTCAGTAACTGACATCAGGAGGACATCCAGGAATCCTGAGCAGACGAGAACAAAGAGGTGCATCAAGTAAGATGAGCCATCAAAACTTATTGTTTCCTGCTTGACGATTCAGTGTCAAATGAAGGTCTTAAACAGCAGCCAGGCCTATCACAGGATTGTCAACATGTAAGTTAATTAACACAGGTATGCTGGACTGAAGGGGGGGAGCAGGAGGACCAGGAGCGACAGATAGAAAGAGTGAGCCAGCACAGGAGGACTGAAGGACCATGACACCAATCCACGACTGCTTTTCTGGGCCATATCACTCCTGGTCCACCAGATATCATAGATCTCTCCTGCGATGTCGAACATTCATAATCTGCTGGCCTGTAAGGGCTGGCTCACTGTTGAGGCTGGACCAACCGAGAGTGGGTTTGATCTGAGAAACATGAAAAATGTTATTGATTCTCATATTTTGAGCTGACAGACACAGGATTAAACAGAGCCTCAATTTCAAACGGTCTGATGAAGTTTGGAGATGTTTTATCAGATTCCGTTCTTAGAGGAATTTGCTTTGTTGATAACCAAACCTTTTGTCTCGGCATGTAACTTGGAGTTTGGTCTGGACGACTTTTATTTCGATCCTTGGTCCACAATAGTGCTGCCCGAGCTGCCTTCCAGGTCCGCTGACAGCAGCGGAGAGGATTTGGCATTGCTGGAAACGGTGGAGGTTGATACCCGAGGAGTGCTTCAAACTGAAAGAGACCAGGGGCTGATGATGTCATGGTGTTTTGTGCATACTCAATCCAGGTGAGTTGCGTGCTCCGGGTGGACTGATTAAGGGAAGTGATGCAATTCTGTGAATGGAAACCAGAAGAAGAAAAGTTCACCTGGGCACCGAGGATGGAGCAGAATTCTTTCATACAAGTGCTGTAAATTAAGGACCCTGGATTGAAACTATGTCCAGTCGAATTCAATGAACACATCGTCTACCAGGAACTGAAGCAAGTGTGCAGCTTTTGAAAAATGATCGACAATAGTGAGGATTACTGTGTTACCAGAGCAAGGGGACAAGCCGGTGAGAAAATACACTTCCATGTGGGACCAAGGACTTCCTGGAGTTGGAAGTTGGTGGAGCAGACCGACTGAAGGAGAACTGGAAGATTTGTTCTGAGCACACACTGTACAGGCAGCAACGCATTCTTTTTTCATCTTTTATCAAGATATCAAAGAGTATTTACGGGTCGATCTACGTCTGTCCCGTCCCATATGGTCGCGAGCAGTGGGTAGTGACTGAAAGAATGAGATCTCGGATACAAGCGGTGGGACTGGTCTTCCTCCGAAGGGTGGCTGGCCTCTCCCTTAGAGATAGGGTGAGAAGTTCGGCCATCCAGGAGGGGCTCAGCGTAGAGCCGCTGCTCCTCCACATCGAAAGGAGCCAGCTGAGGTGGTTCAGGCATCTCATAAGAATGCCTCCTGGGCGCCTCCTGGGTGAGGAGTTCGGGGCATGTGCCAACTGGAGGAGGCCCTGGGGCAGACCGAGGACACACTGGAGAGATTATATTTGTCGGCTTGCCTTGGTCTTTCCCTGGATAAGCTGGAGGAGGTGGCTGGGGAGAGGAAAGTCTGGGCTTCTCGACTTAGGCTGCTGCCCCTGCAACCCGGCCCCGGAAAAGCAGAAGAAGATGGATCAGTGGATCTTTTATCAATGTTTGCAACCAAAACAGAAGCTTGAAGAATTACATTATTACTGGGATGATATGCAAACTCGGAGGTATGAGCTCAGTGGATGACCTGGGAGTGGACACAAGAGGGGACAAAAAGAGGTGGCCCATTACCTGGGCCTATATGTCTCCTTCTCTGATTCACACCAAGTGATTTGCATCATATAAATCACGTTTTGAAACGATTGTGGGTCGCTACAACAGTTCAAATGCTGATGATAACAGAGGCGATGGATATTTGTTTTTAACTGTGAGGGATGTGTTTACTCAGCCAAGGGTATCCTAACACTAGCACTGCAAAAGTATACTTGGATCTGTTCTGAGTGGGCACTGGATTTATAGAGATGATTTCCAGGAGACATGTCCAGTCCAACTGTGAAACTTGAAGGAGTTTGGATAATTCTTCCAGGGGAATGTTGAGTGTGGCAGCCAGGTTCTACTCAGGAAAGTTCTGCTCTGCTCCAGAATCAATTAAGGCTTGGACAGAATATGAAATAGACCGGGAAACAAGTTTATCTGGCAACAACAATCTTGGTAGGGAATGTTTCTTTAACTTCCATCCATCCATTCGCTTCTGCTCATCCTTTTCAGGGTTTGCTGGAGCTTATCCCAGCGAGAGGTGGGGCACACCCTGGACAGTTCGCCAGTGTGTTGCAGGGCTAACACACAGACAACCATTCACACCTATTCACATTAACCTATCCCCACTAGATGCATGTCTTTGGACTGTGGGAGCAAGCCGGAGTAACCGGGGAGAACATGCTAAACTCCACACAGAAAGACCTGATGGTGGAATTGAACTCAGGACCATCTTGCTCTTCAGCAACAGTGCTAACCACCATGCCACCCCCTTTACCTTTATTTAACATGCCCACCAGTATCCCCACCTTTCCTGAGGGGTGTTGTCTTTTATATGCCGTAGATATGTTTAAAAAAAACTCACCTTCTCT